GACAGATGGAAAGAAACTCACCACAACATAAGTGCATGTGCAATTCTTTCACCTAGAAGACTGAAGATTGAGGTCTAGACCCTTGTTTAAATAAATCTGAGCAAAAAACTGAAACAGTATAATCTTCCCCCCAGACCCAGTAAGTATGCTGATTGACAATATGGCTACAGACTATCCCAGAGGACAAATATTTTTCCATTAAAAATTTCCAAAATTTCTTGTTTGTTTCTATTGCAAACAGTAAAGATGTTTGAAAGTCTCAAAAGTATTTTCAGGATAGGAAAGTCAATTTCTGCCTAGCTCAAAATGCTCAGTAGTCTTACCGATCTGTGTGGTATTAGGGATTCAAAGATCAAGACCATATTCTTCATCTGTAAAATATTCAGAAGCCTGGGAATACTAGCTTAAAATTAACTGCGAAAGTCTTAGAAGCTGTCCTTAGTTCTTCCAAGCAGATGTGATCACATACTTGATATTTCAGACACTTTTGATTGTATTTGTACTGTTTTACTTGGGTTCTTTGCAACTGATATTTTTCTCTGCTTTTGCCTTACTTCCATATTCTGCAGTGTCATTTTGTCCTGGTTTCGGCAGGGATAGAGTTGATTTCCTTCCTGGTGGCTGGTACAGTGCTGTGTTTTGGATTTAGGATGGGAACAAAATTGATAAGGCACCGATGTTTTAGTCGTTGCTAGGTAATGCTTACACTAGCCAAGGACTTTTCAGCTTCCCATGCTCTACCAACTGAGAAGGCTGGAGGTGCACAAGAAGCTGGGAGGGGGCACAGCCAGGACAGCTGACCCAAACTGGCCAAAGGGATATTCCATACCATGTGACGTCATGCTCAGTATATAAAGCTGGGGGAAGAAGAAGGAAGGGGGGGACGTTTGGAGTGATGGCGTTTGTCTTCCCAAGTAACCGTTACGCATGAGGGAGCCCTGCTTTCCTGGAGATGGCTGAACACCTGCCTGCCGATGGGAAGGAGTGAATGAATTCCTTGTTTTGCTTTGCTTGCGTGCGCGGCTTTTGCTTTACCTATTAAACTGTTTTTATCTCAACCCACGAGTTTTGTCACTTTTACCCTTCCAATTCTCTCCCCCATCCCACCATGGGCAGTGGCTGCGTGGTGCTCAGTTGCCGGCTGAGGTTAAACCACGACACATTTTTTCAGAAATCAAGTTGTATCCTGAAAGGCTCTCATATTCCCAAGAGTTGGAATATGTCTATGTATTTGTGTGTGTGTACTTTCCAGTGAATGAAGTAAAACTAAGGGATTGCATTATTCCTAGGACGACCCACGAATATACTCTTTTAAGTGTATTGCATTGATGTTGAGAAAAGGACTATCAATAGACTGAAAAATTAGTAGTCCTGATAGTGAATATATCTAGAAGTTTCCTAAACATTTTAATATCCTAACTTGTTACTCAGAGATACACATTTAAACAGAATATACTCATTAAATTCTACTTATTAGCAGGTTTTTTTAATATCTTCACCAAATGTAAGAATTTGCTATAATTAGCTGCAGCTTCCTCACCCACCATATCATTTTTTGCTTCTGTGCAGATCCTCTAAGGAGCAAAGCTGTCACTGCCATCTAGCGTCCTCAGAGGAGGTTTCTGGAGATTATGCTGAGAAAAAAAGTGTTTTCATGGTAAGATTCAATTCCTTCTCCAATTTCTCAGCTAGTAGTAAATCTCATATAGCTCACAGTACCTCTTACAGTGTTTGTTGCCTTTCCAACGTATTCATGAATTTAGAGGACAGCTGTCTAGTTTCTCACTTTGGAAAGTTTAAATGATACTTGCTCACTTCTTTCTCTCCTGGAATATATATTTGCACCCTCTAAGTCCTACTTGTTCAGGATCATGTAAGCAGCACAGAAACTAGTCCTGAGGAGCATCTGACAGATTCCTTTTCCTGCCTTATCTTTTCTCCCCCTCCAAATTATCATTCTTAGCAGAGATCAAAATGGATATAAAAGGCATATTAATCAACAACAGTTCATGTACTATTAGGTGGATTTGCGTAGTTCCACATAAAATCTAGCAACCTGGAGGGAAGTTATTAGTTCTGCTTATATTACATCCTGGGACATGGCTGTCTCAGCCTCTCATGGTCCTTTCCTCACTCATGACATATCAGGGAAAGCAGTCAGTTCAGTCTCTGTCTCAAGGACTCATTTCTTTTCAACACTTGATGGTCTTGGGCAATATGCCATACGGATCCCCACCAGGCACTTCTGCAATGTTGTTCTCATGAGATGGCAACAGATCCTAGGGCACTGGGTCCTGCGGAGAGTTTTCCTTTCTGGCTGACGGCAGCTCAGAGCCCCTCTGGCTCTGACCTCAGCCTTCCACTTCCGCAGCAGAAGCATTTTTTTTTCTCCATTTTTTCCTAACGAAATGCCGGGAACTGACAGCCTGGTACATTTCTCAGCTGAGGAAGAGCTAACCGCGGAGCAGTGCGTGTCTCTCGCTGGGGATGCAGATGTATGAGCTGGAGCTTGGACTTGTGCCGAAGGTTGCTTCCAGTCAGCCAAGTGGCAAACGGGAATCTGACTGTTTGGGCTGGGGAGCAGCTGGATATGATCATGCTGAAGCCTCTGGAAGCTCCAGCTTCCTATGCAGTACCTTTTTCCCCTGCCAAACGTTCAGTTTTAACAGAAATTCACGTAGATATGAAAGACATTAATTGACATCTCCTTGCTTCCCTGTGCACCTTTGCATTCCCTGCTCCAGTGAGGCTCCGGTCAGACCTTTGAAATTCAGAGCACTCAGACTCAACAATTAGCCCTTATGGAAGACTATTATTTTGACACAATTTTCCACCAAGTCTTTACACTGAGAATAATGAGGACTACAGTTACACATCCAGAACCTTATTTCACTGCAGAGTAATAATGCTAAACAGCAGCCCAATATCAAGCATTATTTTTTCAGACACACCATGTCTGTCAAAAATGATTTTGATGTATAAATGAACCGATTTCTGTTTATTATGCATAGACAATTGTACTAACTTTTTCCCTAACATTTTTATCAATATTATGTCATATAACAGAACTTTGTTTTTAGTCCACTTTAAGTTTTTCCATTTGTAAAGGTTTTTTTCAGCTCTATTTTCTCGCATTTCCTTTAAGCATATTAAGGTCGGAATTCATTAATTCACAGTTTTATAGTCAGAAGAGACCCCTAAATCCCTTAGGTTATCTTGTCTGACCATCTATGTCACCTAAGTTACAGAATTAAACTCATCTAGCCTACTGGTGGGTAAGCCTGGCAATTTATGCCAGGTATTCAGTGGTGATGGGCTTTGCTTGGCAGGCCTCACTGATTGATTGACTTAGGGGTTGGTTTTGAGGAGGCAGAAGAGGACAGTGTAGCTTCAATTAGTTATTAATGTTTAGCATTCAAATTAATGTGGACCTGAATTTCACAGTATTTCTTAATAATTTCTCATACTTTCTGTAATGATAAGGGCTAATTCCAGCTTAGTTCTTATTCTGCAGATTTGAGGGTTCTTTCCTTTTTCCTCTCTTTCTGTCTTTCTGTCTTTCTCTCCTCCTCTCTTTTCTATAAAATTCATTTTCTCAGAGGAAAAAAAAAAGCAAAACAGATTTTTAAATAGAGGTGAAAATTTTAATGAATAAAAGGCACAGGCTAGGGTTCTTGGTTTCTTTTATCCAATAGCTCTGTCTTGCTTTTATGACATGCACCTAGGATATTTTAATTTAAGTCATAGAATCATAGAATACCAGGTTGGAAAGGACCTCAAGGATCATCTGGTCCAACCTTTCTTGGCGAAAGCACAGTCTAGACAAGATGGCCCAGCACCCTCTCCAGCTGAATCTTAAGTGTCCAATGTTGGGGAATCCATCACTTCCCTGGGGAGATTATTCCAATGGCTGATTGTTCTCGTTGTGAAAAATTTTCCTCTTGTGTCCAATTGGAATCTCCCCAGGAATAACTTGTACCCGTTACCCCTTGTCTTTTCCATGTGACTCCTTGTAAAAAGGGAGTCTCCATCTTCTTTGTAGCCACACTTTAAATACTGGAACATGGTGATAAGGTCTCCCCTAAGCCTTCTTTTCTCAAGGCTGAACAAACCCAGTTCTCTCAGCCTTTCCTCATATGGCAGGCTTCCCAGTCCTTTGATCTTCTTTGTGGCCCTTCTCTGGACCCTCTCCAGCCTGCCCACATCTTTTTTGCATTGTGGGGACCAAAACTGAACACAGTATTCCAGGTGTGGCCTGACAAGCGCTGAGTCATTTCACAATGCCATTTTATTCCTCTAGTTTATTTAATATTATTTTTTTAAACTGAAAAATAATCACAGTCCCACATCATTTGCATTGATTAAAAAAAACCCAACCAAACAAAAACATACATTGTACTGAAACAATTGCTATATATATTAAAAGAGTTACCAACATGAAAAAAGGTATTCTTTTGAGTATTTTGATTTGAATGTTCAGGTTCTTTGCTGGCACAGCTAGGCATAACCTCTCTAAATGTCACTTGAACTACTTCAGTTTACACCAGCTGAAAACATGGGCTGTGTTACCATAAGTAGCTTCATGCAAGGTTTCAACCTGCATGATTCTCTTGTTGCTACTTCTTCCTGTTGTCCCCAGTGTCATACAGGCTGATGATTTCTGCAGGCAACACTCTTCCCTTTTCTTGCTTTTCTGTCTGCTTTGGAATGATGCCTCGTTGCTTCCATACCTTCTGCTTGTTCCAAAGATGGCAGGGGCATCCGTTTCCGCGGGGACATTCAAATACCTTTGAATTCTCTAACTTCAGTGTTGCAGTCTGGTGTTATTGAGCTCAGGGAGTCACCATGCAGTCCTGACTCATTCATTACACATCTGAATTGCCAGTACATTAACAGGAATTTCAAAAAGAGCTGAAAGATTAGTTTAAAAATATAACACTCCTGGGTTTATCAGGTCTATTTCTTGGGACATGCTAGGAGATCCTTGAAAGATGCTAGATATGCTCAGATTACTGGGAATTAATAGTGCTCATGATCATGTAGGATGTATCCAGCATCTCACTTTAATACTAGACAAACTTTAAATTGTGTAATGCCCCTTGAAATGCTAATAACTTCTTTTCTTCATTCCTATTAAGTTAATTCAGTCCCAGACTGACATACAGCTATATAGTTCCATATATACAGTATACATTTGGTGGTAGGTAGCCAGTGATTGTTCACAGAACCTAGCTGTCCTCTAATAAATCTATATGCCCATATTATTATTTCCATGTACTACAAGCTGCTCTGCAGTCTATGACATGGCATTCATCTGTAATTAGCACCAAAATATGGAGTTAGTATGCAGGACACGGACAATTCTTTTGCCCCAGATGCTGTATTCAAACTGCAGCGGTCCGTTGAAGAAGTAGAGATAACCTAAGGAAAAGGAAAGTTAAAATTAATTAACCCTGAGAAAACTGTTGTCATGTTAAAATTATCCTTCAAATAAAATTTATCCTGTTTGTTTTCATTTTTTAATAACTCTTTTAAATGCAATATTCATAGAATGCTGAGCTAAATTTTCAAAGGTCCTCAATTCCATTTGCCGGACCTGGATTGGTGTTTTAAAAAACTGATATTTTAATTTAGTGTTGAGCTCTGCATTTTATTACTATACAGCACTTGCTTAGGAAAATACAGGGCTTGCCTGTTAATGTTTAAGACTCTAACTTGGAAACACTCCTTGAAGAGTTGGATAGGAATGGGCTCCATTTGAAGGAATGGATGCATTGTAATACTTCTATATTAAGCATATCACTTTAGGTTCCCTAAGAAAGGAGGCAGGTCTTTTTTGGCTCCTCAAATATATACGTACACAGTTTATAAAAGTACCTTGGCCAGAGGGCAATTTAGATCAGAAACCTGATTCAGTTGAGAACAGAAGTATTGGTGTGAAAAAATCAAAATTACAAGTGACAGAATTTCCCACAGGACATTAATCTCAAGTTTCAATGACAACTAATTGCAATAAAGATTCATTATCAGACTATGTACCATTTCTTTGATAGACTGCATCCACTCTATCACCAATTCCTGCAAATTCTTCCTCTATCAGCCTGGGGTAGCCTGCTTCCATAACCTCCGCCTCTTCATCATAACTATATTAAATACAAAAGAAAATAGAAATTCAGAGGATTTAAACAGCCTGGGAGTTTGATCTGTGCCCTTTATAAGCTTTGAAGTTACCCATGTTGGAAGTAACCAGCAGCCTTTAGGTACCTTATATCTAGTGCAATAATGAAAACCAGGGCAATAACCAGGGTACTCTTCCACCAGAAGTACAAGCTCAATAAACGCAAAACTTATAAAGCTACATTTTCAGAACTGATCTATAAAGTACATATTATATGGAGATGATTGTACCTGGATGTATTGGCACTACAAGCCTACCCTGAGGCTGCGTGACACAGAGATACTGGGAAGGGATGGTAACGTCTTAATTATGCATCAGACCTGGCTGTAAGCCCCACTCATGGACAGCAAAACCCAGCCATCCTAGGGTGGGAATGATTTCTTACTCTCACAGCACTGATACAATTTCGTGTCACACAAGCAACTCAAGGAAGCAAGTTGGAAATTTTGTCTAGGAGACATGACCATATTACAAACTCTCCTGGATTAGGGCACTTTATTCTTCTTTCCTTTCTTTCACTCTTTCAGCTTTTAAAGGCTGTGCCCATATGTTTATAAAAGTCTTACATACACCTTTATGACATATTCTACACAGCTGTAGCGCCAATGAAAACCACAGACTGGAAACATGTGAGCCACAAACAAGTGCCTGGTTTGGAACAACCTGCTGATCTTTTGATACTTCTGGACAGGTTACAACAAGGGACACTGAAAAGAAGCACCAGTCTGTCTCCAGCTTACCTCCAGTACTTATTTCCAGTAAAAAAGAGAGTCTTGCCAGTGTCTTTAATATGGACTGCCGCATCTATTCTTTTCATTTCTTTTGGGAACCCCATTTCATATATCTTTTTAGGAAAGTCTTCAACTATGTCGTAGCCATTCAAAGCCCAGACTTTCTTTCCTGAAAATAAGAACAAAGTATGCATGAGTCTTTCGTAAAGGCTCAGCTTTGAGAGCAGAATAAAATGAGGATGCCATGATCCTTATTTTCATACAACTAACAGACTCTTAGGTCACATACTCAGCAGGTATCAAACTGTTTATACTAACCATGATCCTAGGTGTCTGAGCTTATTTGTACATCTCCTAGTTCACTGAAAATTGTATAGATTTGCATGGGGTGAAACCAATAGTGTTTGTTTTTTGAGCAAAGAAGGTAAGATGTTTTGTTCTTCTATTGTTTACCTTTACATCACTCACCGAGCTTGACTAAATATGTATATTTTTCTGCCAACAACAAAATTGAAAACTCACCCTTAAACATGAACACAAGATCTCTGATGGGGTTTTCATAAGCTGCATCTATTTTATTTGGAAGCTCTGGCCAAAAGGATTTAAGTAACACCAGTTCTGCGTCAACCATCTGAGGGTGCAGTCGCCAGAAAAACCTAGTTCAGAAAAAGAAAATATGTTTTATGTTTCCTGTCATTCTACAGAATAGAAGTATCTTCGATGTGCTGTATTAAAAATTAGTTAATGGAGAATAAATTTTTTTTCACAGCATAGAATTTTCAATACATAGAGCCCCTGGTAGACCTTTCCTTTCCTCATAGTCACCTAGCTGCAGACCATTTCTGCCACTCACACAGTGATCATCTCAAACAACAACAAACAAATCTTTTTTTCATTTAGAATAAGAGAAACACTGCTGCCCCATGTAAGGTTTCTGAATGTAGTACAACTTCATTCAAATAAATGTTAGTAGATTTGTGCATGTTGAAGAAATCCCTGTGGAATGAAAAATGTGTACAAACCGTGTCAGTCTTCAGCCATATCATCTTCACTTCATATTACTGGGAAGTTAAGTCTGTAATTGTATTACAAATCCTGCCTAAAAAGATATATGATGTAGTTTCTTAGAGGCACCTATGCTGATCTGTGATTTTTTAAATTTATGTTTACTCAAATATTTAGTAAAAAACTGAAATGCTGTTTTCACTTGCTCAAATTTTATCCAGTACCGACCATCCACAATATAGCAATCTCTTTACCTGTCCTTGAAGATCAGCATTTCTCCACGAAGTTCTGTTATTGCATCAAGTGATAAATCTGCATCACATTTCTCTGGTGTTTTGGGATGTTTTGGATTGGGATCTTTGTCTCCAGCACCTGGAATCATATAGTATGATCTAAGTTTGACAACGTTCATTTCCTTTCCGTGGATCATGATATTGAATAGGACATGAAAGAGTTCCCAAACAGCATGGTGAATACAAGCATAATGGGCAAACTACTTGTACTGGGGAAAGTCTGTTCTCTCTTTCTCTCCCTTAGGCAAATACATTCGTGGACTTTGCAGTTCAGCTGTGCTGCAAAAATGTTAAATGGACTTGCTTTCTTTACCCCAAGTTTTGAAGGTCTTCCAAAAGTTTTATTTTTTCTATGATGAAACATGGTTATTTCTGTTTCTCCCTTTAGACTCTGTTTTACCTTCTCCTTTGAGGCAGGTCAAAAAGTATAAGGACTCTGCTCCCCACCCCCACCACCAAAAGAGGCAGCACAGTGACCAGCTGTACTCTGCAGTGTTATTTCCTTTTTTTTTTTTTTTCCCCTCTGAACTACTAAATCTAAGCATCTTCTGTTTCTGAAGTCTGGTTGCCAAGAATCCAGTGAATCGGTCTTAATCAGTCATGACTGTTGCTATTCAACATCTGCAGCTCTTTAGTAACTGTGTAGTGCATCTGTAACAGGTTATAATGACACAGGAAATATATATTGTATATTATACAGACTTACCATAGAGCTCTTGAATCCCTTGTACATCATCATCAGGGAGCACAAAACCAGTTTTTCCAGTGTATGTGTAAATTGGAAACATCAGAGCTCCAGGGTCTCTAGAGTGTTCAAGTCCCAGTGAATGACCAAATTCATGGGCAGCAACAAGAAACAAGTTATACCCTATAAAAAAGCCACAGTGAAAGTAAATGTATAGGTCCTTATATCACCAAAGTGGACTTGGACTAATCAACTAACCTTAACATTGTGCTTTAACATATGGGACAATGAAGGAGACAACTGGATTAATGGAAAAATTATGTATAATTGCATGTCTTTTTCAAACTACCATGGGTTTTGTTTTAATAAAGGCCTAATCGATTGAGTATCTCATAGCTGGTGTTCAACCTAAATCTTATTTGACAACGTTGTTCTCTAGGCTGATTTAGATTTCCTGAAATTTCTTAGCAACACTGGAAAGCTCTGGGGTGAAGTCTTAGTCCTAGCCAAGTCAAGAACATTTTTGTCAGGAATTCACCTCTGATAGAGAGTCCATGTTGGTTATAGTATTGCAGCAATTAGCTTTAATGCCAGGAGAGTGAAATAACACAGTGCTGAAAAAAAAAGTAGTGTTTTGTTCTATTTGTTCTATATTGTTCTCTGTCCTGAATAGGCAAGGTGAAGAATTTTCAAATTAGATCTAAGTAGCTGATTTGCACCTGAGTTAAGTATGTGTGTTTTCTATAGGCTTCAGTAAGGTAATTCCCAACAGTCTGCGATCAGAACTAGCTGCCCTTAAGCTCAGTGAAATGCCAAGCTGACAAAATACCTTGTTTGTGGCATTTTTTTAATCACTGCACTTAGGAGGTATATATCTTAAAATTTACGGTAGGTATATGTTATACTTCCATTTATGACTGGAGATTAAACCCAGCTTCCTATGAGTAGACAGTGAACATAATGACTAATGAACAGTAAACAGGTAAAACAAACTGTTTACAGCTATCAAACAGGATGAAATTGTCCATCTACCACCATTTCAAATAATCTCAGGAACTTCTGTTACCTCTAGAATCATCTGACCAAGCTTCATCATCATCAAAATGGGCATCCCCTCCATAGTCTGGACCAGGGGGGAAAGCATGAGCCAGTAATCCAGAGGGTCCATCGAAGGGGTAAAAGTCACCATGTTCTACAAAACAACATTCAAAATAATGAAATCAATTATCCCATTTTAATGGCAGCAATATAACTATAACGTAAAAGTAATTGGTTCTGTGGTACCTTTAGTGCCAAAGGAGATCATGATATCAGCTATACCACTTCGTATTCTGGTGAAGTTAAGCGGTGTCACATCAGACCAAACTTTGAATGCTTTTTTGAAAGCTCTGTCTACTTCAGCACGTCTCAGATCTGAAGTGTAATTCATAATTCTATCAAACAGATTAATATCTCCAGTTAAATCGTGTGAATTGAAGAAAATGTACAATACACTTTTATCTGACTATACACCTCATTAAAATTTTTTGCTTTTTTCCTCCCTATGTTCTTATCTAAAACAGAGCTCAGCAGCTGCATACAATATTCAAAAAAATAAAAATAACCATTTCTATTTTCATTAAAATCATTCAGAGACATCTGAAATGATCCAACAGCTTTCTGTAATTGGTTTTATATGCACCAGAAGATATAGAAAATGACAGATATATTCTGTATTAAGTCAAATCATATCAGTAACTTCAAACTTTTTTATGCCATATAAAATATCTCATGATCCTCACTTCCTGGAGGAGAAAAACATGATCCAAAAAGCTTTATGTAGGCTAGAATCATCCATATTAAAGTAATATTTATCACCAGATACTGAACTGATAGAGTTCAGTGATATCATTGATTGAATCATATTCTATGATTCTATGATCACATTTGGAATCTGCTTAAGAAACTCAGGTTGCAGCTGGTCAAAACACCCTGTTGACAACCTTGCGGTATTAAGGGAGAAGGACCTACTATGTCACCTTTCAGCAGCGTAGCTTCCTAAGGTCAACTTTCTGAGGTCATGGTGCAGGGATTTGTCTGATCAAGTATAGATATCTACATCTGGACTGTGAAATGGAAGAGTGACAAGGATCAGTCCCTGCTCTCACAGCCACATTGCACAGGCTGGTTTGCATCTACACTGCTTTGTCCAGGACAAGACCTATGTGAAACAGACACTAAACCAGGTCCAAAGTGGAACTAAGGAGTGACCTAGAGATTAAGCGCTGTGAGGATCAGTGGTGAGGTGCATGATCTTAGTCCCTACCCGTCTTTCGTTCAGCACCATGGATGTGCCCAGAGTGTGTACATGGAGGCCAGATGAGGAGTTACTAGCTTACACCACACCACCTTTCCTCTATGACACAGTGCAATGGAAAAAAAAGTATTTACTTCCTTGGGCTGCAAGGTGGGCTTGGGGGACCTTTCCAAAAGTAGGGCTGTAAGGATTTTAAACTGCAACATGAATTTTGTTAAACACAAATGCATCCTCCTCCCATCAACCTCATATACTGAGCAACCTATTGGACAAGGTACCTGGAAAGAAGGTAATAACAGTAATAACACTCAAAATGCCATGCATTTACCTGTATGTCAAATTAGTTTTTGACCATTTGAGTTTTCTAGGGAAAAAGTTATATTCCCCCACATCTGGGACACCACATCTTGGTTTCTGCATCAGCTCATATGTTTCTTCATCTAATTTGCCTGTCACCTCCAAGCCAAAAAATGCTTGCATTTCTCGAAGTTTAGATGCCACTGTGTTGGCACTCTTCCTCATTATGCCAGCAGGATTTGGACGGAGATCATAGTGAGTCCTGAGATAGCGCTAAGAAGGGGAAAAGAAGTAATAAATCTAGTTTCCAAACAGTTGTAACTACACAACTTACTATTTATAAAACATGCAAATGAGTTATTTTATACTGTACCTCTGCAAACTGAAGGTCTTTCTCTGTGAATTCATGGCTATCTTCAACAGGAATAGGGATTGTCAGGCAAAATGACAAACCCAACAAGAAAGAGAATGCAGCTGAAAGTCTTGATTGCATCATGTTGGATTTGTGAAGTCTGAAGCCCTGATGTTTTAGAGAGCAGTTACCTTTACTTTTATAGTCCCAACCCAGTGAGTCACCAGTCACCACTTAGGGACATGTTAGAACTTCCTTGTCGCTGAAAGTAAACATGCTTAGACAGCTACTTTTTCTCTCCTCCCTAACACTGTGGTTTAGGCATCTGTTGTCCCACTGAGGGCTCTGAAACTGTATCCTCGTATAAACATGGTCTCTGAATATTGACATAGGTTGTGGGAAGAAATGGGCAGAAGAAAACCACACTTTTTGATTATTTTGCAATAACTTACACTGGCAATAACTGGCAATAACTTTGCAGTAACTCCCTCTTCTCTGCTAGAAAAATTGCCTTTCTACTATTTGATAGACAATAAAAACATATAACAAGCTTCATGATTTTTTAAATAAATTTTGCAACTTTTCAGTAGTTACACTAGTTCGACAGCAATTTTTAACAGTTGGAATAGATCATACACACTTCAACTGTTAATAAATGTTGCCTTGGCTGATAAGAAATAACATTATGGAGTATACAGTAGGCTATTACATTTCCTTGTTTCTGTAAAAAATATAACTCTAAAGCATTAACACAAATTTTACTTCAGAGATCCTTAAAGTGACTTCATAGCTGTCTTTCAGAATAATTTACTGCTTGAGATGTACCTAAAACCAGAAATGCTAAATATCAGGAATTAGTTTTGAATATTTTAAAATTTTTTTTATTATTAGTAAAGCAGGTCATGTAAGGTGACTAGTTCATACAATCTGTCTTCCTTAAAAAACATTAATTTAATTTACTTTATGAGGGGAGCACAGCCATAAATCAATGAGACAGCTACTACTCTGAGAGAGGCAATCTACCAGCTATAGGTGGGCAATGAATCTGTGTGTCTAGAATGACAGAAATATGTGATTTTGACTTACGAGGTGAATAATAGGATAAACCTGGCATTATGACAGACACGGGCATTATTATACTTCAAAGCTTAAAGATGATTTCATTCTCCCCAGGGTCACTCCAATCTCAGCTGCAATCAAAGAGTTGTATCATATCATGTGCCCACAAGTGTGGGTCCAAGGGGAGGTGCTGTTTCGGCTAAATCCACCTTCCTCTTTCATGGAGGCTGTTCCTGTATGGGAAACCTCAGGCAGCTTTCTGGTAGACACAGGTACACACTTTCTGGAATTCACTACCCTGCCATGGATGTTACCCTGTTGACAAAACAGGAAAAGGACAAAAATCAGTGAAGCTGAATGTGTAAAAGCTCAACTTGTTACTCAAACAATATTAGCCTTCTGTCTTATGGTGACAAACAGCAAAAGCAAATAAAGCTGAGAGGAATTTGTTATGTAGGCTATTTCTACCTCACCGCCCATCCCAGCCAGTGCTAAATATGGTTACAATTAGGGATAGACAACATCTGTTCAAACAGTTTGTATATCCTCCTTTACGTTGTCCATCACCAGCGCTGAGATTTTTATTCAGCAATGGTGACATAAAGACTGTTAATTATCCCACCTTCTTAAGAAGTGCTGTCCCCTGAAGTGCTTCAGGACAAGCACTGAATCCATATTGCCGATGTTCTCACTGCGCTGCACTCCTTGCTAATGCAGACTGCCAGATTATGTACATGTCTTATTTCTTTCCTTCCAACATTTCTGTATTGATATTTGCAGCATTGCTTTCATTAATGTTGGGGTATTCAGTTATGCGGTAAGCAGAGTTTACAGTGAATTTTGCTTGCTTTTTCTGGAGCTTAGGAGCAGTGGTGCTGCCCTGTCATGGTTCTCGTGGCTGTAAAGAATACTTTCTTGAGACTTGCATGACTGTAACTGCTCTGCAGAACAGTACCAGACATATCTTAAAAAACTGTGAGTAAAATGAATAGCTTAAAACTCCACAGGTAACATTCCTGTGAATTCCAAATTCTCTGAAATTATCTTTCTTGTACCTAAGGGAGAACAATTTTATACCACCATTTGTATATCACTGCCATTTGCCAGACAACTAAAAGTTTTTAATTCTGTGTCAGCCACTTATACGACTACTCTTTCTCAGCTCTGGTGTTGGAATCTTTGCTTCAGAAATAGGAGAAATTAATTTCCTAACCAACTGTTACTGTAAAAACATGATCAAGTCCATCACACTTAATGAGAGAATGATCCAAATTATTCGTAAGTGGTTTCAGGGTTGCCTTAATATAGTTTAGTTAACTGGTAATTAAAGGTGAAACCACGTAATCAGAGACAATATTTGAATGATATAAATGTAGAACAGAAAAAAATTATTTAGCTAGGCACAAGAGTAAAATTAAAGAAAGAACAGTGTTAGCTTATTGAACGATTCTCCAAAGTGGTGTGGAGCCCTGTTCTTCAAAACGTTTAAGCTGCAGTAGTCAAAGCAGTAGTAAGCAGAATTGTCTTGCATGAAGAGAATGATAGATTAGATAGGGAAGAATGATTTTTCACTTTCTAATCTCTGTGATTTTTTTTATACAGATGTTCTGAAATCCTTTGAAGTTCACAATGAAAACTCTTTCAAAGACTTTGCCTTCGGTACCCTTTACAGAGCTGTCTTGAGGCATTTCCAAGGAATATTTGAAAAATTGGACAATGTAATTATAGCAAAAAACTAAAAAAGGCAGCTTTTCTGGAAACAACTTCTCTTATTAGATTTGTGTAAGAAGAGATGCATAAAGCTGGGTCTTTTGCTATTATAAGTCAATGACATGAACAAGTGAAAAGACAGGCCACTGTTTTGAACAGATTCTGCAAGTGAGTAGAAAAACCTACAAAGAGAAAAAAGGCAGGGAGTCTGTAACTATTTTGTCACAGGGAGTAAATCAAAATGCTAAAACAGAAATTGATTTCTGAAAGACTGTGTGTAATGAGCCATCTGAGAGTGGACTGTGGCTGAATCGTGTTTTCTGCACATTCAGTTGATTCCTTTGGGAGCCCTAGCCATGTAAATATACATGATCCAATATATTTTCTTACACATTTTATTGCTATTTATATTACACCAGTGGCTAGGAGCCTATATTGAGGCATGGATTTTTATGTCCTCTGTACACAAACTGAAGAAACACTGGTAAAGGACTGTGCAAACAAGCACACATAAAAGGGCCAATGAAAATGGGCAGTACTCCCCCGTTTTCCGAAACAGCATCACAGATGTGATTTTTTTTTTTTTTAAGGGGAGACAAAAAGCCTTGACAGACCTGGGAACTAAGTACAGACCTCTGAATTTGCTGTATATTACCTTAATACATTGAGTCTTTAAAGCCTCAAGCAAGTTTTTAAAGTTGGCAATGATAAATAACAACTTCAAAGCCTGCCAGTGTTGGGCAACATAAGATATAAAATCTATGGCTCAGGCTCAAGTGATGCCACTGTCTGAGTTTAAAAAAAAAAAAAAAGAGTTAAAAACTGTGAAGAGAGATGTAAATGAAGGTGAAAGCAGTCAGCAGTGGTTCATAGACCTTGTGCTGACCCCAGTGCAAACAAGCAAGCATGGAAAGTTACGTTTTAAAAGCATTGAAACCCACAAAACTGCTGAATAGTAAGATTTCAACAAGCACTGCAAAATTTCTGCAGTTCTGGCATCTTGTGGGTGTGGGTAAAGTTAGCTGGACTGATGGTAATTTTCACAGGCACAGCAGAGACTGGAACAATCATGCCAGTTTTCCCCCCAAGGAAAAATGGATAAAGAGGGATGGGAAATGTGGTGAGAAGAAATGAAGTGCCTTAAAGCAGCATTAGGTACTAATTATTTGAAAACAAGAATTGTGCCAAACATATGGTTTCAACATACATTTTGCTACTGCAAATAATTGAAAGGTGTCATGTTTTGATTTACAGTCTGTGTTTGGTGCCCAAAATAGCACTATATAGTGAAAGTGGTGAATACTCTGTGACTCTGAAACAGCAGACACTTCACTTATGACAAATAAACAAATGTCAGTGGGTCCATTTGTTAATGTTTCTTACCACAGATTGTATTTCAAGTGGAAAGTCTCCAGTGCCTAGGGCTACACCATCACATTTAGATCACCTTCCTCTGGGAAGAAGGACGGTATTCTGAGGCCCATTGTGCAGCTGGGTAAATGGAGTCCCAGAGTAGTTAAAAACACACACTCTGGCTCTGCCTCTCCAGGTGGGACTCCATCTGTGGCACCTGTTACAAGAAGGGGGTCAAAGACAACTGAGAATGGTTTCCACAAGCAGCTCTTCAGCTGGGATGGCAAGAGATGTTACACCAACCTGACTCCTTTTTATATTAAACAGCAGCATCCCTGTGCCATTTGCCATCCCACCCCAGTT